AACTTGAAGATGATGGGTGGACTTCAACTCCCAGAATTCCCCAGCCAGCCATGAATGATAGAGTTGGAAGGGACCAGAAAGGCCATCCAGCGCAGTGATTTTTGGCCTTGGTAACTTTTAAGATGGGTGGACTTCAACTCCCAGAATTCCCCAGCCAGCCATACTAGGTGGGGAATTCTGGGAGTTGAAGTCCACTGTATAGATGTTATAGAAGCTATTTATACCTACGGGAAGAGAAACATGAGCGGTGGGGGGGAACTAATGCAGGTACATTACGGGTTTCCGATGACATCTGATGGGGAAGAGTAATGCTGCCCTATTTGAATTTTGATCCCACCCAGCTGTTCCCATGGCTTTAGGAACTGCAAGAATATTATATTTGAGAATGTAAGAATATTATAAAATCAGATGTCACTTAATTTAAGGACAAACATTTAATTTTACCCCCCCTTTTTTTTAAAAAAAAAAAATCCAGCTATAGAGGCCAGAGAGACCTTTAAAAAGCTGGTCCCGAGATTAAGTGGGCTTTAAAAACAGTACAGAAACTGGGAAATCACACTTATGAATTATGCATGCCGCCTTAACAGAGGCGCATCGCGCTGGCCGTTTCCTGGATCAATCTTAAATATGCTTGTAAAGTTTGTTCGCTGTTTATAAAAAGAAATGGTCTGTTTGAACAGCAAACCGAGATCGAAATTTCCAGTCATCGCTCCTGGAAAGGGATGAATTCTTTCTTTGTGGACAGTTGTGATGTCTCACAAGATTCAACTCACGCAGTGCAAGGTCTACCAGAGAGGGTACCTGCCACTTCACAGTGTCCCTCCAGTCCCACCCCATTGGGGGCTGAGAGTTTCTACACACCTTCAAAGGAAGTGGCCATCCCACCTAGGAATACAGGTAGCCCTAGACCGGGTGTGGGCAACCTGCGGCTCCGGAGCCACATATGCGGCTCTTTGGTCTGTCAGCTGAACCCACCACTGCCTGGCCACACCCCTTGCCCTCTCCTTCCAGTCACTCCTCGCCTGGCCTGAGATGAGAGGGAGGGAGGGAGAGAGAGACAGACATTTCCCAAGAAAACACAGGGAGCCTCAAAACCTGGGTAGACGTGGCAGTGGGGGGGGTGGTCATGTGACTGGGAGTGAGTGATGTCAAGCTGGCCACACCCACCCAGTTTTTCTGGCTCCAGGTGTTTTCTTTAATGTGGGAAATGGGTCCAATTGGCTCTTTGAGTGTTTAAGGTTTCAGACCCCCCCCACCCTAGACATTAGCTTAACAACCGAAGTTACAATGGCACTTGAAGGAAGCGACTTATGACCATTTTTCACACAATTGTTGCGGCATCCCCACGATCAACATTCAGACACTTGGCAACTGGCATGTACCTATGACAGCTGCAGGGTCCTGGGGAGGGGTGGTGGTGTCACATGATCCTTCTTTGCGACCTTCTGACAAGCAAAGTCAATGGGGGAAGGTGGATTTACTTTACAACCGTATTACTAATTTAGTAACATCAGCGATTCACTTAACAAATGCAGTGAGAAAGTTTGCCAAACTCGGCAAAATTCACTGAACAACTGTGTCGTTTACTTGCAGAAATTCTGGGCTCACTTGTGGTCATAAGTCAAGGACTTACCACCAGTATTTCCCAGGTCAGCTAGAACGTGCTTCCCGTCCAAGGAACAATCTGTTCTTTAAGTGGAGGATCGCTATGCAGAAATGCAGCAAGGAGTTTGCACGAAAGAAGGGGAAATACTTTGCATTTTCTTCTCTAATAAAAGGACAAAATTATATTCCTATTCAGTTCTGTCTCATTAGACGAAGCAAAGTTTGGAAAATACAAGCGACCGAATCTCTCTTTAAGTCACGCTTTAAAGCGAAAACACCAGCCTGCCACAAATGTGCCCCAAGGTTTATGCATATTGGAACAAAAACTACCCCAGAAACAAATTTATCTATATAGTGATCCAACCAGTCGGGTAAGAATCAATTAATAATATTTATTGCTTTCTTGGCACTTTCTGAACATTCAGAAGGTACTTATTAAAACAGGCCAGAGATGGTTAATTGTGTTAATTACGGGCACCCTGGTTCACAAGAGAGAGAAAAAATTAAGGCAATGATTTATGGCAGAAACATAAAATTGCAAACTTGAAACAGCCGCTCATGTTTAAACTGGGGACTTAACAGATTCCAGTTTTACACAAAACAGGAGCGCAGGAGGATAATGTAACATGCGGAGTGGAAAACCAGTTTGGTGGTTGGTTAACAGTTAATGTTAAGCCTACAAACCAGGAGGTGGTGAGTTCCACAATCTGCCTTAGGCACAAAAGCTAGCTAGGGCACCTTGGGCCAGCCACTTTCCCTCCACCCTGGGAAGGAGGCAATGGCAAATTACCTCGAAAGAACCTTGCCAAGGAAACCGCAGGCAATCTTTTGAGATTCACACAACACTGAATGGATCAATTATGCATCTTTAGATACAACAATCTAAAGAGCCGAGGTGGCGCAGTGGTTAGGGTGCAGTACTGCAGGGCACTTCANTGGGCGGCAAGCCACTCCCATCCGGTAACATGGGCGGCAAGCCACTCCCATCCAGTCACATGGGTGGCAAGCCACTCCCACAAAGGAGGCCACACCCACAGAGTAGGTTCCAACAATTTTTGAAACCCACCACTGAACACGGACCTCAGTGGTCTTAACCTTAAACACTCAAAGAGCCTTTTGGACCCGTTTCCCACAGAAAGGAAAACACCGGGAGCCACAAAACCTTCCCCGTGCCTGACCATTTCCTGAAAAACTAGCATATGTAGTTGGATTAAACGTTCCATTTCCTTCTGGATTTTTTTTTCTTGGATTTAACCATGGTTGGCCTACCGGGGTTTGAAAAGCTCAATAAATCACATGCCAGTGGTGGTTGTCATGCATATTTTGAGCAACGGAGCCGCAGCAGCAGGATGAAAGAGTCACATGCGGCTCCAGAGCCTGACCCCTCTTCTAGCCCAACCCCCTACTCAAGTCAGAGACTCTATACCCTTTTCGCGAAAACGGGCCCGTTTTTTTGCAAAAACAAAGGGCGCGCATAGCCTTTAGGAGGCTTGCGGAGTGCTCTCCGGGGGGTTGGGAGGCGGGGCAAAAGCGAGCAAAAAAACCCAGCCCATTTTTCACTCGTTTCTGCCCTCCCGTCCCCCAGGAGCACTTTGCAGGCCTCCCAAACCCCCTGCACATCCATTTTTTGCGAAGGGAGCTGGGTTTCAGGTGGCCAAAAATGCAGTATTCGGCGTATAAGACGCACCCAGATTTCCGTCCTCTCTTTTGCTGGGGGAAAGGTGCGTCTTATACTCCGAAAAATACGTTAATTGGAAAAACTAGCAGATTGAACAATTGCCTGCTTTGTCTGGCTGGGAAACCCTTCTCTCTCTCCATTGACTATTGGGCCCCTAGGAAAGTCACTTCAGAACCTTGAGGTCTTCTTGAACGGGTGAAGTGGAGGACTTTATAGGTCTCCGGAGTTATTTTAAAGAGGCCTCGGGAAGGGGGTGTGTGTGTGTGTGATAAAGCCAGACTGGCTCCCAGCACCTTTGTCGAACATGTCAGCAAAAAGGCAAACGGCTTCAAATCAGATTCTGCTCCCGGAGAACCAAGCGGCTGAGTTAATTTGCCAGCACTGGGCTGGGTCCATACAAAACGGGCTTATCAACTTAGCACATTTCGAAGCCACTGTGTCAGGGGGGAAAAAAAAGAGCTATTGACAAAA